GTTTTTAGGTCCATCTGCTAAATAATATTCTACTGTTCATTTGTTTGTTAACTGGTGAACAATTGGGCTTTTTCCTTTTGGTTGATAGCAGAGAATCTGCCATAAACACTATATGTGCATACACTGGTATGTATGTGGACATATTCAAATTCTCTTGAGCATATATCTAGGAGTGAAACTCTTGATCAATAGGAACTTAAGATTTCGAGGAATGCTAATTTTTATTGACGTTTCACCACTCCCTTGCCCACACTGTTATGGCTCTTTCCCCTTCCTGTTTCTCAGTTTGGATCATCTCAAATGACCTTCCATTCTCGTCACTCTTCTCCCTTCTGATGTCTACTGCTATCCCCTAAGGACGTTTTTACCTCACTTTATTAAAATTTTTAAACTCAAAATTTCCATTTGACTGTTTTATAATCTCCTCTGGTGATACTCTACTTGGTGTGACATGGCTCTCACACTGCCTAAGGTCTTTATATGTGATTCACTTTAATTCCTTGGTGTTGTTTCAGATCATTGTCTTCCAAGTCCACATCCAGGCTACCTTATGGCCATTTTGTATTACCTGTTTCTCCTGTGCACGGGTGTCTTAGTCAATGTTCTATTGCTGTGAAGAGACCACAGCAGCTCTTATAAAGGAAAACATTTAATTGGGGCTGGATTACTGTTTCAGTGTCTTAGTCCATTATTGTCATGGTGGGAAGCATGGTGGCATGCAGACAGACATGATGCTGAAAAAGGAGCTAAGAGTTCTACATTTGGATCAGCAGATAGCAGGAAGACAGAGACACTGGGCTGGCTTGAGATTGTGTAACTCCAAAGCCCACCCCCAGTGACACACTTCCAACAAGGCCACACCTCCTAATCCCTATCAAGTAGTGCTACTCCCTAATGGCCAAGCATTCACACTTATGAGCCTATGGGGGACATTCCTATTCAAACCACCACAATGGGCCACATTTCCTGATTTCTTTATATGTCTACTGATTTGTTGTTGTTGTTGTTGTTGAAACCTGAGGATCTTTTAAAAGAAAAGGATATGACTGGCAATAAACTCCTCTTGTCTGTTCCTGTTCATTAGCTTTTCTGAACTTGTGACAAGTCCGTGCTCCTTGTTACATGTGGCTATTACAAACTGTACTCTGTTGGTTTATGTAGTCAGTTAATGTTTAGACAGAGTTCCTTCAACACCTAGATCATTTTGTAAAAATGTTTTAATTTTTTCATTTAATATACTTGGATCAAATGTTTTTAGAATTCAACTGCAATGAAACTATTGACATATTACCTTAGTTCTTTGTCATCACATTTCACTTGCCCCACACTGTCCCTCACATTAGTGTTGTAAAGCAACTGTCTGCATGCATTACAAAGCCAACGATACTGTTGTATGATTTTTGTTATTAAATATATCAAGAAATGGGGAAACCAGTCGTTTATTCTTCACATTTCACCAGTCCTAACAGTGGCTATCACTACTGGAGAGTCAGGTGGGTACAAGACAAGGCTCCTAAACAACATGGGGATGTGCAGGGAGGTTCCAACAATGAATTACTCAATCACAGATGTCATTGGTTCTAAGGCTGAGGAGCCTCTCAAGACAACATGATTGCTGTTCCCCAGTTACTTTCTAGATCATCTCTTCTCAAATATGACTCCTGTGCACTCTCATGTGTTGACATAAAACATTCCTGCCTCACAAGGGGAGACTCTATGCCCATTAGATCTCCAAGTCTTTCTGAAGCAAGTTTTGACCATTAGTTTTTTTAAATATTTTAGATTCCATGTGGTAGTCTGAATGTAATTAGCCCCCATAATCTCACAGGGTGTGGCTTTGTTGAAAGGGGTATGGCCTTGTTAGAGGAAGTGTGTCACTTTAGGGACGGGATTTGAGGTTTCCTACGCTCAAGATACCATAGTCAACTGTCTCAGTCAACTTCCTGTTGCCTGCAAGATGTAGGGATCACAGCTACTACCCCTACCCATATCGTTTCCTGTTCCAGGACCTCTCACTTTACAGCCTTGCCAAGAGTCCCAAGGCTTACTCTGTATCTCTTCAAGCCTGGAAGACTGCAGATTTTGCATAGAGAGAAAAATCAAGCTACAGAAACATGGCTGCCATTCAGGGGAATCCCCTCTGCCAGGACCCAATTCCCTTCAGTTTCTACTGGTTATTCTCCAATATTTTTAAATAGAAACTACTTTTTTTTTTCAAATGTATTCCAGATTTTTTCTTTTGTTTTAGTTTTTTGTAACAGCCCTAGCTGTACCAGAACTCACTTTGTATACCAGGCTGGCCTCGAATACACCTGCCCATACCTCCCCAGTTCTACTCCAGATTTTATCAGGGGCTTCTGCAAATAACTTCACAGTCATTAGAAACAACAACTATCAAATTCTTAAGTGTGATGGCTTTATTAAAAAGAGAAATTATGTCATCTAGTATCTGACACAACCATCTTTCCCAATCCTTCAACAGAGTTTCTGGGAGATACTATAGCAACATGGACTTTGCAGCCTGTGAAATCATTCACAAACTGTAGGAATGTGAAGGATTAATTAAGCCTTTGTACTCTTCCACTTGCACCACAAAGGGGATAGTTTAACACTCACAGACATGGTGGAAAGATTAAATGTTTACATAGTCTAACATGAATAAGATCTGAAGTGCAATCCCTGTACTGTTTTTTTTTTTAAAAAAAAAAAAAAAGTTTAAAAATTGAGTTGGGATATAGCTCAAGAGTAGCGTGCTTGCCTAACATACACAGAGCCTTTGGCTCTGTCCCTGGGCGATGATGATGATAAATGCTTATACTGTGTCCTGGTTAACTTTTTTGTTGTTTTGGTTTGTTTGTTTTTCGAGACAAAGGGTCTCTGTGTAGTCTTGGCTGACTTGGAACTCTCTCTGTATATCAGGCTGGCCTAGAACTCAGAGAACAGCCTGCCTCTGCCTCCCAAGTGCTGGGATTAAAGGTGTGGGCCACCAACAGCCCCACCTAGTTAGTTTTTCTTGTCAACTGGACAAAACCTAGAGTCACTTGGGAAAAAGGAACCTCAACTGACAAATTGCCTAGGTCATATTGGCTGGTGGCCAAGTCTGTAAGACTCTCCTGACTAATGATTAATGTGGGAGGGCCCAGTTCACTGTGGACAGCACCATCCTTAAGCAGGTGGGGCTGGGCTGTATAAAAAAATCTAGCCCAGCAAGCCAAAGAGTAAGCAGCATTCCTCCACAGCTCCTGCTCCCAGCTCCCTCTGGCCCAACTTCCCTCAAGGATGGACTCTGATCTGAAGTACAAGCCAAGTAGACCCTTTCCTCCCCAAGTTTGCTTTTGGTCTTGGTGGTTATCACAGTAACAGAAAAAGCAAACTATGACACATTGCAAAGTGATGAGTGTTAAAAGTACAGAGATGCAAGGGTCCACCTGAGAACCTCTCCACAGGAGAGTAACCGGCTCCGTACAGGCCCTGCATGTATCAGTCGCAGTCACCATAAGAACTGAGAAGGCAGAGTCAAAGAAGACCAACTTCAAATGTCATACTCAGAGAAGCTTGGTACAGAAATGAACTTTCTTTGATGCTGAAAATACATTCTTTTGCTAAATTCTCAAAAATGTATTGTTTCTTCTGCTTTGAAAAGTAAACATTGTTCTTCTATACAAACTATATTTTATGACTTATTTTATCAATGGATTAGATTTAGCATATGTTTACACATTATTTTACATCATTTTAAATTTTCAAATTGTATTTACTGATAAAAACAACATAATTTGCTTACTCAGTCTTAGTTGAATGTTTTGGTTATTTCTAATCTTCACAACTATATATTACCATAAATGACTTTAATTTCCAATAATTTAACTTTGTCCCTTACATATAATCCATCTACAGTGTGTGTATCTGTCATTACTGAACACATTCACAAAGATGGAACCTTAGGATGCAAGAATGTCTTCCTCATGACATCAGCTCTAACCCCCGTTTTTTAAAATAAGCAGGTCACTACCTCATCATACCAATATATCTTCTGAACATAATTTATAATAATACTCCATGTTCATAAGTTCTGTAACCATACATTCAATCAACTGCATGTTGGAAATCCTTGAAAACTGCACCCACACCAAAAACACGAAGCTTTTCTTTGTTATCATTCCCTAAGCAACAGTGTATTTACATAGCATCTCCAATACATTAACTGTTATATGTAATCTAAAAAGACTCAACGCATGAAGGAGATTTGCCCAGAAAGCCTGACACACAAGACACCATACAGATGAGATCTGAGCAGCCACAGACTGCACACATGACACCATACACATGAGATCTGAGCATCCACAGATTGGGTATCCAAAGGAGCCCTGAAACAAACCTCCTATAGATCCTAAGGGTGGGTCTTCTTTTATGCTATGTGACTTTGGTAAACAGCTGGGTGTGGTGGTGCACACATACAAGCCCAGAATTCCAGAGGCTGAGTTACTGTGAGTTTAAGGCCAGTCTGGGCTATCAAATACCCTATTAAAGTTAATATAGGAATGCCTATAAATGTGAACATTTCCTCCCTCTCTAAGTAATGATGAAGAATGGAGGGTGTTTCCCTGCCCTTCCTGGGTTTCTAAGGTTTACATTCATGTCAAAAATGGTCAGCAGAATCTTTAGTAAAGAGTCAGGTAGTTAATACATAACCTTGTAAGCCGTGTAAGTCTGTTCTATTGAGTATGGCAGCACCATAGAAAAGCAAACGGATGTGGCTAAGTCCAACCAAAAAACTGGGTGTGGTCCAAGGGCTGTAGCTTGAAGATGTCTAGTAAAACTGTGAGGAAAATATGTGGTGTAAAATAATATTAAACAATTTCTTGAACCTATTCCCAAATTTTAAATGATGAGCAAGAGATTTATCCCCTGTGTTCTCACAGTGCTGAAGCAGTCATGATTTATCATCAGTGTAGAACTGGACCAATCTCTCCCTGTCATCATGACCTAGCATCACTTACCTGGGCATAATCCTCGAAAGGTGGAGAATAAGTGATGCATTTCTCCAGTACGTGCTGGGACTCATTTCCCTGAGAGATTGCATCCAGAATGTTGCTAGCAATTCCAGTCTTCTGTGGTGTGCCTTTACTTGCAGTAGCTAAAGACAAAAGTAAGACCCTTCAGTGATTTGTTAAATTATAAACAGCGTAGAACACATTAACTCAGCCTGTTACAAATATGTTACTAATATACATTCGTATTTATTTTCTCTAGGAGGAATTACATATCACTTCATTTCAGCAACTGAAAATGGAAGCTTGCCATATAGGTAAAATTATGCTGGAAACCTCCAAATATATTTCTGTACTGAGAATTGAAACACAGCTTCTATAATGCTAGGCAAGCACTCCACTGAACTATATACCCAACCCCATAGATAATTCTACATCAGTGGTTCTCAATCTTCCTATTGCTGTGACCCTTTAATTCACTTCTTCATGTTGTAGTGATCCCCAACCATAGAATTATTTCATTACTACTTTATAACTGTAATTTTGCTACTGTTTTGAAATGTAATATAAATATCTGGCATGCAGGATATCTGATATGTGACCCCAAAGGGGTCATGACCTACAGGTTGAGAACCACTGGTCTACACTAAGGCATATAAAATGCAAATTAAACACCCTTATTAAGGCAATAGTTGTCACTGTCAATTTTCAGGTGAGAGCAGTGTGCTGCAGGAATACTAGAAGAACACTCTTTCCTAGATTTGGAAAAATTGTAAATGAATGCTCAAGAGAATACTTTGTAAAATGCCAAAAGTGTATATTAAAAATTACACTAATCTTTAATCCTTTCCTTGTTTACAGTTTCTCAGATTTACATTATGTGTTTGCACAAAGCACGTGCCTGTTCGAGCAGAGTTTTAAAAGCAGAACTGCAATTGTGTGACACTCATTTTTAACTTTTTCCATTTAAGATCATCGTTAGAGACTACTTCATAAATGAGTGATGCAGACAACTTCTGACTATTATTGTTTCTTTATAAAGGTCACAGTGTCCCATTCTGTGTATCCAGCCTCTTCCCTGCTGGACAGCATTAATGTGTTCTTTGGTTTTCCCATTGCTGACTTGTTTTCAGGACTGTTGAGTAAGAGTTGACTCATACCAATAAAGGCTCCATTTCTTCTGATTAGCAGTCACATATTTAGGGTCTATGAATGCAATGGCTACATCATCTAGAGGCTTCAGTCTCTAGTTTAGAACAATGACTCTACCTACACTGTAAATGACTACAGTGATTCCAACAATTTGTTGCCTTCATTATTTTTTAATAACTGAATAAAATTATTTTGCCCTTAATGAAAATACAGTTGTAAAGACTTCTTAAAATGTTTTAGTTCAAAAAGTGAAGTGTTTTAATTTTCTTTTTGTTAAAATAACGGGATTATTATTAAAGAACAGGTCTATGACTTAGGGCTTAGTTTTGTCAATAGGCATTGTGAGTGTCAACTGATTTAAGACAGAAGTCAAAGTCATTGCAGAATGTCTTCCAGGAAATCTCACTGCTGATGCGGAGTCCTCACTTACATAGGCACACACTGGGCAACACACTGGCCAAATTCAAATAAGGATTTTTACTGAGCCGAATTTCTTTTGGTGGTTCTCCCAAGAGTGAAGTCTGATTCTTAGAGGCAACCTAGTCACCAAAAACAAAACATGAGAAAAAGAATGAGGAGTGTCACAGAACATCATACACACACATGGAAAGGTCACAAAAAGTCACAACAGAATCTTTCACTCCCTACAACTAATGAGTGCTTATTTAAAACATTTACTAAAATTAAAAAATGCAGAAAGATTTATTTTTCAATGTATCTTGTACAGTGTGATCATTTGTGAGCCCCAGCTGGGCATAGTGGCTCATGCCCTTAATCCCAACACTCAGGAGGGAGAGGCAAGCAGATTTCTGTGAGTTTGAGGCCAGCCTTGTCTACATAGCAAGCTCCAGGATAGCCTGGACTACACAGAGAGACCCTGTCTCAACAACCCCAATAAAAACCTAAATAAATAATACATTCTAACCACAGTATTCTACAAGTGGAATAGAGCCTAAGGCATCTTGTGTCTTCTCATTTGATCTCAGAGAATTCATCTTGGGAAGAAAAAAAAACACAACTAATTCTCTATCTTATTTCTAGAAATTCAGGTATTAACATTTATTATAAGATTTAAATTTTTCATTATATGGCTAAAACCAAATGACACAAGTGACGTTTGTTTATCTCTAGTTCTAAAAGTAATGCCAAGTCAGAGAAAGACAGCATTCATGGACTGACTCTTAGCTCTTAGATGACAATGGTAGACAGGACACTGGAAACACAGACCCTACTATTTTCATATACTTAGTAGGAGCAAAGACTCTAACACATTGAACAGAAAAGGATAGAATGCAGGACTGAGCTTTCATTATGCTCCATAGTCTCCTGAGAGACGGCTTATTATTTGCTCACTGGTCAAAGGCTTTTAAAACCACAGTTAATATAGGTAAGACAAAGCTAGCAGCTTAGTTTTCTTTTCAAACAGAGATGTGTGTGTGTGTGTGTGTGTGTGTGTGTGTGTGTGTGTGTGTGTGTGTGTGTGTGTACACACAATGAAGAAAGCCACTCCTGAGTGTTCATTTCTGTATGTGAGAGCCACAGTCCTTTATGCTCCTGATGCTTTCCTGGCCAATACTGCTGTGTCTGGATAGCAGAACCAGTCTCAGACATCTTTGTTAGCCTCAAAGAAATCCAGGTTTGCTTGTGACATGTCTATCACATGGCCATGTATTCGCTCATTCAGTTTATGGTTGCTGAATAAATGCTTACTATGCTCCAGGGACTGGTGACATCCAAATGAGTAGGAAATACAACCCTTAACAAATTCACAGTAGCTCAAGAGAAATCTTGACTGGAGCTACAACTTAGAAGATGTTGAAACCATTACAGTGGAGACAATCACCAAGAACAAGCAACTGACAGAGGTATAACAATGCCACATTTCAGGGACAAAAAGGAGAGGAAAGGCAACCAGGGGAATATCCACTTCTCTGTGTGCTTCCTTGCCCTTGAACCTACCTCTGCGCCTTTTGGCTGGCTCTGTTGTGTTTTCTGGTGGCCTGTCAGCGGGCCTCCAGCAGGAAGGCCTGGGAAGGTCTGCAGATACTGCTGCGACCCTGAGAAACTAGCTTCGGTGATGCCCGCTGAGGCTGACTGCTTCTCCTGAGTGGTCCCACGGCCCAGCCCAGCTTGTCCAGCAGTGAGCTGGTGTGGGAAGAATGGCAACATGCCCAGCCCAGCTGCCAGTGTTGTTTGAGTTGGAATCAGATTGGATGCTGTAGTGAATGAATCATAGAGGCAAAAGAACCCTGGTTATACAAGACATAGTAGCCCCTTCTGTACCTATCAGAGAACTGTGAAATCCAACAGGTGAGGTCAGAGGTTGTAAGTTCACAAGAAAACAAAAACTGACAAATAATGCCTTTAAAATTCTCAAGAATTTCTAAGGTAACCTCAACATCATATTTTAATGATACATTTTATTATTATTTTAGAAGCTTGTGACTCTATTTTGACATTTCAATTACTTCAGTACTTAAAAATGTCCAATCATTGCAATTTGGCTGCTTCCATATTTGAAGAGAGTAATTGGGTCTGGTGTTTAGTGTTCAGCATTTCCTCAGTTAATGGTGGACTCAGCAGCAAGCCTTGTTAGCTTGTCTCCACCTACTATTGAGAGCTGGCTGCACCCACCTCTTCTCAGCTTGAGCCCAGTGTCTTTATACTGGCAACCTGACCTTAGCAGTGGCTTGTTTGAGGATTTACACATAGAAACCCCACAGATACTATAAATCAACACTATTTTTAAGTGGAGAGATCTGGTTTTTAGACACGAGTGTGCCACTGTTGTCTTTGAAGTCAATACTTGGGAATACAAACACTATATCAACAAAAAAATTATATGTTCTTACTTATAGTAAGTAAAATCCTGAAAAGAATATGTTTTCACAGGAAAATTCAGAATCATTTTTAGCAATCAGGCCGTAGGTCAGGGATAGTGAGATGGCACGGCAAAGAAAGGTGCTTGGCTGTAAGCAAGAGTTTAAATCCCAAGACCCACAGGACAGGAGAGAACCAACTCCCACAAGTGGTCCTGTACATTCCACCTGCATGCCATAACACACGTGTGCCCTGCCCCAATCAACAAACAAACAAACAAACAAACAAAACTGCATGGGTGAGCCAGGCATGGTGACATGCATCTCCCAAATACTCAGGGGCTAAGGCAAGATCACGTGAATTCATAAGCTGATTCAAGACCAGCTAGGCAGCACAATAAGACCCTGTCTCAAAATAAACAAGTAAACAAATGGAATAAAAAGCTTACAAGAGGCCAGAAAGAAATTAAAACACTTAATTTTGATGACTAAATTAAATTCCCATTTTACAAATTCACCAGTTTCTTACTTTGAGAGTACTCACTTTGGCTCCACTATCTTTTAGAATATATTTATTTAGACAGTGAATTTGCAGGGTTCTTAGGGCAGCACAGAGAACAGCAAACTATGTATTACTTAACATTAACATGAGGAAGACACATTTTCATAGCTCTTAGTCATGGAAAGCCAAAGCTTTTAGGATGACAGACTCCCATCATACTAGGAAATTTCTTGGCAATTTAATCATCGTCAGGATCGACTGAGTTATTTGGTCACTTGATTAGCCAACTGTGTGTGTAAGACTAAATGTGTTACTTATGTTTACGGAACTTAAATTACCATTGGTGTTATTTTCACTCTACATGCTCACATCTAACTCTTCAGTCAAGCTTCTAACTGGAAGCACTTTTCTAATTTACAATAAAATAAGAAACCCTGGTACATTTGTAGCTTTCTAAAACAAAAATGTCCAGCCTGTCACGTGCCCAGAGCACATATATCAGTTTTCTTTCAAGTAATAATTTGGAGACATAATTTAAAACTGATTCAAGTCAACAGGACTTAAATTCACAAACTCTAGCTATTCCTTTTATAAGGGCTGGGGCTCCTTATTTGGTGGACTTGAGACGGAGACCTGAGGCCTGCGCTGTGAGCCCAGTGGGCAGCATGTCAGCGTCAAATGGAAGCTATGTCTTCACCTGGCACTGCTGTGAGCCCAGTGGGCAGCATGTCAGCGTCAAATGGAAGCTGTGTCTTCTCCTGGCACTGCTGTGAATCTGCATGAAATATTAAAACCCCTCCAGCAGGGCCCGTCTCCTCTTGGCATGGAGGCAAGCCCATTAATAACGTATCAGACAAGGCCAACAGGGCTCTTGAAATTTTAAATGACCAAGATTTAAATTTAATCATCCTAGAAATAAAAGAGGAATAGAGATAAACTATCTTCAAGTCTCAAAACTGACTATATCTGGACTTCTTGGCAAATAGGTTATTTACCTTTGTGTGTGTCTCCATGGTGTCCCAGGTCGGTTTTCAGAGGCAGTGGTGGCCCTATTGCCAGTGCAGGCTGCAGCACCATGGTGGGAGGGTCTCCCAGCAAGCCAGGCTTCTACAAAAGAAGGGGGTGATGGCAGATGGTTCCACATGGTGGAAAAAAAACCAGAGCCCAGGAAAGACAATGCGTGTGTGAAATTTCACCCCCACCTCCCCGCATCCATGGGCTGAGTCCATGAAAGGGTTGAAATACTTACATTATTAGTGTGGGTATTTTCAAACTTCATCAACTGCTGCTGTACCAAAGGTAGGTGAGACAGATTCTGAAGGAGTAAGGGTGCCGCACTACCCACAACCGAGCTCTGTGGAATTAATACGACATGAAGTTAGTCACATTTGCAAAACTATTGGTGGGATAATCAACTCATCTCAAAGTTCAATTCTCAAGTAAGTCTAAAGAAAGAAAGAAAGAAAGAAAGAAAGAAAGAAAGAAAGAAAGAAAGAAAGAAACCACAACTTAGCCAGGTGTGGTGGCATACACCTTTAATCCCAGCCCTCAGGAGGTAGAGGCAGGTCGATCTCTGAGTTCCAGGCCAGCCTGGTCTACAGAGTGAGTGCCAGGGCTACACGGAGAAACCCTGTCTTCAAACAAACAAACAAACAAACAACAACACTTCTTAATACAAATAATCTACTTTCACCCTCAGGTAATATTGCAAGAGGTAACCAAGCAGTTTTGAGACCTATTCTACATTCTTTGTCTTCCTTTCAGCCCCTCATCCCCTTCCTGGCTTTAATGATGGTGAAATATGAATTTATTGACTTAATCATTTGACAAGAATTGTTGCACGCTTTTTATGAATAGGACAGTGTGCTACCTAGAGAGAAATGCAGTCTGATTGGCCCCTATGTATCATATCCCTGGGGGAAGGGGACTTTAAATATTAAAACAAACAAGACTAAACATGGCAATTCTGTGAGGGAAAAATACAAGCAGATACACAATCAAACACTGGGGAATCTTATTTTAGATTCATGGGAAGACTCATGGGAGGCATTCTTGAGGCCCTAACTTATGTGCTGAAATTTAAAGGTTGTTTAGGGAAAGCCTGGGCCAGTTACGTGGGACACTCAAGAGGAGTGAGGAGGTCCTTTTGGGACAGTGAGATGCACTGAGTTCAGGAGACAGAGGGACTTGTAAGCCTTAAAAGCAAATACAACATCTCTGGTCTTTCTCCTAACAGAGTGGTCCTCAACCTTCCTAGTGCTGTGACCCTTAGTAGACTTCCTCACGATGCAGTGACCTCCGCCCTCGTGCTAGGTGCTGCAACTATTATGGCTACAGCTTTGAACAAAACATCCT